GAGGGACACAGAATTGTTACTCAGGGACAGACACAAAATTGTTACTGAGGGACACAGAATTGTTACTCAGGGACACAGAATTGTTACTCAGGGACACAGAATTGTTACTGAGGGACACAGAATTGTTACTGAGGGACACAGAATTGTTACTGAGGGACACAGAATTGTTACTCAGGGACAGACACAGAATTGTTACTGAGAGACACAGAGTTGTTACTGAGGGACACAGAATTGTTACTGAGGGACACAGAATTGTTACTCAGGGACACAGAATTGTTACTCAGGGACAGACACAGAATTGTTACTGAGGGACACAGAATTGTTACTGAGGGACACAGAATTGTTACTGAGGGACACAGAATTGTTACTCAGGGACACAGAATTGTTACTCAGGGACAGACACAGAATTGTTACTGAGGGACACAGAATTGTTACTCAGGGACACAGAATTGTTACTCAGGGACAGACACAGAATTGTTACTGAGGGACACAGAATTGTTTTACTGAGGGACACAGAATTGTTACTGAGGGACACAGAATTGTTACTCAGGGACACAGAATTGTTACTGAGGGACACAGAATTGTTACTGAGGGACACAGAATTGTTACTCAGGGACACAGAATTGTTACTCAGGGACAGACACAGAATTGTTACTGAGGGACAGAGAATTGTTACTCAGGGACAGACACAGAATTGTTACTGAGGGACACAGAATTGTTACTGAGGGACACAGAATTGTTACTCAGGGACACAGAATTGTTACTCAGGGACACAGAATTGTTACTCAGGGACATACACAGAATTGTTACTGAGGGACAAAGAATTGTTACTGAGGGACACAGAATTGTTACTGAGGGACACAGAATTGTTACTGAGGGACACAGAATTGTTACTCAGGGACACAGAATTGTTACTCAGGGACACAGAATTGTTACTCAGGGGCACAGAATTGTTACTCGGACAGACACAGAATTGTTACTCAGGGACACAGAATTGTTACTGAGGGACACAGAATTGTTACTCAGGGACAGACACAGAATTGTTACTGAGGGACACAGAATTGTTACTCAGGGACACAGAATTGTTACTCAGGGACACAGAATTGTTACTCAGGGACACAGAATTGTTACTGAAGGACACAGAATTGTTACTCAGGGACACAGAATTGTTACTCAGGGACAGACACAGAATTGTTACTGAGGGACACAGAATTGTTACTCAGGGACACAGAATTGTTACTCAGGGACACAGAATCGTTGAATTAAAGAGTATGTCAGACAACACGCAGAGGAGTGGCAGAGGAGGCAATGTTTTAGGAGCGAGCAGACGTGGCAGCAGAGGAAGGGGTCGAGGCAGCACTAGTCGCAGCCAGAGGCCAGTGCTCCCGGTGTCATCCAGCGGTCGTGTCTCCACCGACAACCCTGCCGTCATCGATTGGTTGGCTCGGTCGTCTTCCTCTTCCCAGGTCACCTCTGACACCTACAGCCAACGGTCGTTGGGTACGTCAGACACAACCGTTAGTTGGCATGGCCCGGGAGCAAGCCCACTGAAATCACGTGTCCTCGACCTGCCCCTGTCCTTTGGTGTTCCCTCACCAAGCAAAGTATCGCATGCTGTCGCTCAGCCCCACTGTACAGTGAGGAAGAGCTAACAGAGGGCGGTCAGGAACGGGGGGAGACATCCGCCTCTTCAGCAGCCAGACGAAGAAGTACTGGCGAGGAGAGTGGCTCGGTAGCCGGTCTAGAGACAGGTCTGTCTCCTGACCCACACACAGCCGAGGGGGCTAGTAGTGAGGCAGAGACCCTAATTGATGATGATGAGGCTGATCGCACTTGGCAGCCTCGTCGTCATCAGGCTATTGCTTCCGCATCATCAGGAGAAGAGGGTGCCAGCTTGGCAGCGAGCAAAACAGTCGGTGGGTTGCCCAGGAGGCAGCAGGGTCGCAGCAGTGTCAGTGGAGGCAAACGGCCACGGAGTAGAGCACCAGCTCCACTGCAGCCTACCACCACGGCCAGTAGTGGTGCCGGTGTGCACGGAGGAAGTAGCAGTCAGGCAGTGAGGAGTAGCGGGGGCAAAGTTTCCTACTCGGCGGTGTGGCAATTTTTCGTCAAGCCGCCCGAGGAAGTAAACGTAGCCGTATGTCGACTATGTGGCCAGAAAGTCAAGCGTGGCCAGGGGGCCCATGTTGGGACTACAGCGTTGCGTCAGCATATGCAGCGTCGCCATTTGGTGGCCTGGGAAAACCGTGATAAAGATACGGGTTCTGCCTGCCCCAGCCCCCGCTCCATCACCTGCTCCGTTACTTGCTCCGTCACCCGACGTCAATCGCCCTCTATCACCTCTGCTGAGGGGAGTTGTCGCTCGTTGGCATCTTCCGCTCGTTCAGATGCTCCTTCTCCTGCTACTCCTCTTCACGGATTCCGTCAGCAGTCTTTCTTGGAATCCGTTTCCAAGAGACAACAGTTTGCGAGCACGCACCCGACGGTGCAGAAGCTGAACGTCCTCCTGTCTAAGTTGCTGGTGCTGCAGTCCCTCCCTTTCCAAGTGGTGGACTCAGCACCTTTCCGAGAAATGATGGCTTGTGCCGCGCCGTGGTGGAGAGTGCCAAGCCGGCATTTCTTCGCCAAAAAGGCAGTGCCAGCCTGCATTCACATGTAGAAGAGATGGTGGGCCAGTCTTTGAGCATGTCGGTCTCTGCCAAAGTGCACGGCAGCGCCGACGTGTGGAGCTGTAACTACGGTCAGGGACAGTACATGTCATTTACGGCCCACTGGGTGAACGTGGTGCCGGCACAGCCCGCACCAGCAACTTGGACAGGTCACGCCGCTTTTGCCTCCACGTTTGCACGTCCTTGGTCCAGCAAAGATGTCCGCCTCTACCACCTCTTCTTCCGCCGTGTCCTCAGCCGCCACCCCCCCCCCCTGCCAAGTCCCATTACCCGACCGGCATATCACATGTGCAGGGCGCAACGGTGTCACGCTGTGCTGCACCTGGTATGCCTTGGCAAACGTAGTCACACAGGGGAGGAACTTCTGAGTGTAATGAACAGAGAAATCGACAGATGGCTGTCTCCGCGCAAACTGAAAATCGGAACCATGTTGACCGACAACGATAAGAACATGGTGTCTGCTCTGCGTCAAGGAAGGTTGTGCCATGCGCCATGCATGGCTCACGTGTTCAATCTGGTTGTCAAGCGGTTCCTAAAATCCACCATCCCACTGCAAGACATCCTTAAAATGTCACGTAAACTTTGCATGCATTTCAGCCATTCCTACACCGCAAAGCACACCCTCCTTGAGCTGCAGCGGCAGAACGGAATTCCACAGCATCGCCTGATCTGCGACGTTGCAACAAGGTGGAATTCAACCCTACACATGTTAGACCGCCTTTACGAACAGCGAAAGGCCATCACCGATTTCCTGATGTTACAAGCGGATAAAGGTACTCCCCTGTGTAACTTCGATGTCAGCCATTGGCAGCTCATGCGTGACACCTGCCGCTTGCTCAGGCCCTTTGAGGAGGCCACGCTATTCGTGAGTTGGCAGGACTATGGGATGAATGATGTCATTCCTCTGTTGCACGTCCTGGAACAAATGCTGTTAACAATGGCTGGTCAGGGTGCGGTAGACGTGGCGCACAGATCTCAACGCCACATGACCCCTGTGGGGGCAGGACAGGAAGAAGAGGAGGAGGTAGAGGAGGACATTGGTGCTCAGGAATTATTGAGTGAAATGGGTGGTTTTTCCACTCAGCGGACAGGAGTGGAGGAGCAGGAGCATCTGGTAGAGGAGGAGGAGGAGACAGAGGACCCAGACGCACCGTGGCAGTATGCTGTGGAGATGGAGGCAGGGAGTCCCTCGCATTCCTTGGCACAAATGGCCCATAGCATGCTCGGTTGCTTGCGTAGCGACAGCCGAATAATAACCATCAGACAGAGGGATGACTTTTGGCTGTCCACCTTGTTGGACCCTCGCTACCGTTCAAAAAATGGTGGCCTTTTTCACACCTGCTGAGAGGGAGGCCAAAATAACGTACTATAAAAACCACCTATGTAGTCAGCTGGTCTCTGCCTTTCTGCGCCAACGTCCATCCTCAGACACTGTGGGCCCTGTGCGCTCGCGTTCCGCTGCCATGGCAGCAGGGGAGGGGTGGGGTGGTAGGAGCAGTGGCAGCTCCACCAGCAGCAGCTGCCTCAGTCTGCAGTCGATGAGGAGTAGCTTTCTTCACCAGCGCAGTGGGGAAACTACTAACCAGCCGCAGCAGCAGCAGCATCAGGTGGACCTGGAGCAGGACCTCAAACAACAGGCTTGGGCCTACTTGGACAGCACCCTGCCAACCGAGGTAGACAATCCCCTTGACTACTGGGCAACGAAACTTGACCTTTGGCCCCAACTAGCTGAATTTGCCCTTGAAAGGCTGTCATGCCCGGCCAGTAGCGTGGCATCAGAGCGCGTGTTTAGTGCGGCAGGAGGTATTGTAACTCCGCGGATGACACGACTGTCCACCCAAAGTGTGGAGAGACTCACGTTTGTGAAAATGAATCAGGCGTGGATTAGTCTGGATTTCAAACCACCAGTTCCTGACACAACTGACTAAATCCGCCATGAATCATGCCCCAAACATGTTAACTCTGCCATGTGCCACTTTCAATTCTCCTCACACTGCTGGTGGGTTCCATTTTGTCATAGGGTGCTGGCAGATTATGGCCTCCCATTGCTGCTGCCAGGCCCGTAATCTGCCATGGGCCCCCGTACCGACTCCTCATGCTGCTGCCAGGCCCGTAATCTGTCATGGGCCCCTGTACCGCCTCCTCATGCTGCTGCCAGGTCCAGAGTCTCTCATGGGTCCCTGTACGGCCTCCCATTGCTGCTGTCTCCATCGCCACACTCTGCCATGTGCCACTTTCAGGTCTCCTCACACTGCTGGTGGGTTCCATTTTGTCATAGGGTGCTGGCAGATTACGGGCCTCCCATTGCTGCTGCCAGGCCCGTAATCTGCCATGGGCCCCTGTACCGCCTCCTCATGCTGCTGCCAGGTCCAGAGTCTCTCATGGGTCCCTGTACGGCCTCCCATTGCTGCTGTCTCAATCGCCACACTCTGCCATGTGCCACTTTCAGGTCTCCTCACACTGCTGGTGGGTTCCATTTTGTCATAGGGTGCTGGCAGATTACGGGCCTCCCATTGCTGCTGCCAGGCCCGTAATCTGCCATGGGCCCCCGTACCGACTCCTCATGCTGCTGCCAGGCCCGTAATCTGTCATGGGCCCCTGTACCGCCTCCTCATGCTGCTGCCAGGTCCAGAGTCTCTCATGGGTCCCTATACGGCCTCCCATTGCTGCTGTCTCCATCGCCACACTCTGCCATGTGCCACTTTCAGGTCTCCTCACACTGCTGGTGGTTTCCATTTTGTCATAGGGTGCTGTATGGCCTCCCATTGCTGCTGCCTCCACCGCCACACTGTGGCTCCACACTCTGGTTTTGGCCCCGTGACTGCCCAAATGAGTGAAGTGTGCGGTGATTCTAAGATCGACGGCACTCATCTGCATGTCATACTGACTGACAGTATTATTTCTCTTCCCCAGCAGACTCCAAGGGCATTTAAATTAAAGGTACAGTGTTCTGCACTAATATAAAGGCTCTCTGAAGCCTAGAAACACCCTTTTTATAAGTAAATTCGCAGCGAATATATTCGCATCGAATCGAATTTATTCCTCGAATTCGCCGAATCAGCCGAATCGAATTTTTGAATACTTCGCTCATCTCTATTGACTACATAACAAAGCCTAAATGGCATAATATATTGCATAGGATTACCAAGAAAAATTATAGCCATAAGCTAAGTTGAATCATTTTAATACTTAGGATTCTCACTAGTTTTGTCTTCAGTTTGTGTCGGTTTTGCTTCTCTTGGCTTTTCTCTTGTATTCGAGGAAAGGGCTATCTCTTACAACTGCACGTGACTACACGCTTCAGGTTCTTCCTCTCACTTGACTCAACCACGAAGGATTCTGGTGCTTTAGGAATTGGTAGCCCCTCTCCATGAGGAACTGGACGTATTGCCAATGGATTATTTGGATAGTGCACAGATAACTTTTTCTTCTTATTTAGCCCTTTTACAATTGGAGGCACCATACAAAAGTAACAATTACTAAAATGATCTGTTGGCTCTCTCCAAATCATTGGCACAGCGAAAGGCATAGATGCCTTTTTTCCATTCAACCATTGCTCTAGTGCCGTCCCACAAGAATTGCAGCATATATGTGGTGCCCAGCTCTTGTCCTGGTCTCCTATCTTGCAGCCAAAATACAAGTTGTAGGCTTTCTTAATCATTCCTGTTATCCTCCTTTTTTGTGAGATAAAAGTTATTTCACCGCAGATATAGCAGAAATTATCTGCTTTATTCACACAAGTTCGAGGCATTACTGAGTAGCCTATATAAGCATAAAACAAATGTAAAGACGCTGTCGAACTACAATCAGCTACAGATACTGCAGCTTTTATGCAGTGAAGTGATGCAATTAAAGGCTAATATTGCATCATCTCAGTATACATGCAATTTTCTATTGGTCACCAGTATCAATTGCGCAATATGCAGCTGAAGTTGCATCATAATTTTGAATGGCTTACGTCATTAGATGGGTGAATATATCATGGAAACTAGAGCCAATCAACATTTTTTAGGGTCATTTTCGTTTTCAGCACCCCAAAATTATGTAAGATTAGCTAATTTTATGCCCAAAACTTTTTACCTGTTGAACAGTGTTACCTATGTTGTTTGTTCTGGATGTCACATTTTGTAAAAAAAAAATGTTTTCTCACATTTTGGGCCATCTCTAATAGCTGGGCTCCAAGTGGAAACTACACACAATGAAATTCAGTCCAACATTAGTCCTGCTTCTACTCCCGCACAATACTATAATTGCAAAATTCAACTTTCTCCATTACCTACTGATTTTTAAATTGTAGTGTAGGACGTACTGCAGTTCACAATCAATAAAAAAAACAAAACACCAAATGCTTCTGAAACAATTAAGGTTTTATGATGATTATTATTTTGACTGTTTTCCTCCATTACAATTCCCAAAATATTTTGCAGTACCAAACCAAGCTAAGTACAATTTTATAGCAAGATGGAAACAAGGCAAACAGCTGGAATGTGAGTTGACTAATCTGCAACAGGCATTGAATTCTACATTGTAAAAGTGCATATTTGTGACACTAACCCTAATATCCAGTGGTTTATTTTAATTTTGTTTTGTGCTGCCCTAGGCAAGACAAAAATCACATGCCCCCCCATCTAAATGTGCCCCACCCCTTCCTGTTTAAGACCGACCCCTTCATCTGTAAAACTCCACCCCTTCCACTTTAGGCCCCACCTCTTTGTATTTCAAAAAACCCCTCCCAATAAATCAGGATCCCCTTTAAATCATGATCTCCAGAGTCCCCCCACCTTATGTGCATCAGGGTCCCCATAGCCCATCCCTTATATCAGGGTCCCCAGAGCCCCCTCCTTAAATTAGGTTTCCCAAGTCCTCCCTCCTTACATCAGCATCCCAAAAGTCCCCCCCCCCCAATACATCAGGGTCAGTCCTTTTACATCATGGTCTCCACAGTCCCCCACCTTACATCAGGGTCCCCATAGGCCTCCTTTTATGTCATGGTCCTCCAGAACCACCCTCCTTAAATCAGGGTCCCCATAGTCCTACCACTCCTACATTTTGGTCCAAAGGGAGTCCCCCCCAATACATCAGGGTCCACCTTTACATCATGCGTCTCCAGAGTCCCCCCACCATAGACCTCCACATACATCAGGGTCCCCCAGAGACCCAGATCCCCCTTCCTTAAATTAGGGTCTCCAGTGTTCCCCCTTTCCCTTACAT